TACAGCAATATGCAGAAATTATGATCTTTTTGCTCATACTGTATTTCGAGTATATATAAATTACTGTATATAGAAACTGGGTATTTACAGAAAGAACTAGTGCTAGRCAACTTCAAAAAAATATTGGCAATGATATCCCATAACTTCTGATATGTCTTGGAATATGAGTCAAAACGATCATATAATTTCTGCATATTGCTGTAAATAAATTTGGTTGATAAACTAAATAATAAATTTAATTTATAAGTTATTATTGTATTAGTGTAATTATTCACTTATTCACTATTTGTTTCATACAGGTGCAGTACTTTTTCAAGATCTTAAATCAGTGAATCTTGCAAGTATATATTACTTTGATGCAATGGATCAGATTTTTTAATTTTTGTAAAATAATACTGTCCAAGTCAGCATGTGCATAATATATATCTGTGTATAATACCTGTAACATATCTGTTCTCAATTATTCTTTGATTAAACATTGGTGGTTTTAAGAAGTGTCTGCAACAAATTTTAATTCCCTATTATAATCTTTATAAGTAATTTCATTTTATCAAAATATTGTTATTAAGTACACAGATTCTTGCATACAATTAATAAGTTATTAGGCCAATAGAATGAGCCTATTTGGTCACATGTATGGAGCTTTATATCTGATAACATTCCTTATTAGTATTCTTTATAATATATTCTAAAATATTTAGGATACTACGCGCGCTGTGATTGGTCGAAAACCATGTTTGATTACAGTATCAAAACACGCTCGCGCGCGTCAAAAATTTCTTTTTTCCCGCCGTTTGCATTTGTTGTTGTTATCATTCATTTTCAAGAACAATGAACGAAGAAATGCCTATTTATGATGTCCTCTGGGATGATATCCCASAAGAAGAGCTATCAAACGTTTTAGAAGCTACAGAAGCTGCAGACAACTGCAATGTAAGGAGAATTCATCGTTTTATATCGTATCAAAAGTCAGCATTCTTTACAATTTTCRTATTCTTTTAATTTTAGAAAAGAAATAAAAGACGAAATTCCGTGTTTGATACTCTGATCAAAACACTTGGGATGTAGGGAGAGCACTCGAAAAGCTGGAAACCACTCCGCTACGCGTCGTGGTTTCCTACGCTTCTCTCGTGCTCTCCCTACATCCCGCGTGTTTTGATCAGAGTATCAAACACGGAATTTCGTCTTTTATTCCTTAACTTATTTTTTACGACCATTTCTCCTAGAATCCTAATGGGTTTGAGTTCCAAATTAGTGYTTGAGTTTTTGAAGACATTCAATAAACCCGCAAGCCGTGAGCTTATCAGGTATAAAGATTCTTGCCTTCTGCTCAATCTTTATACCCAATTAAAACACTCCTGCTCATTTAGTCATGGCGGAAATGGATTTAAGATTCTGCTCTATCCATTTTATTATATTCTGCTGCTTTCCATTTTATTACTTCCCATTTTGTTTTCCTTCAGTACTGATCATGATATAAACAAGACACCTGGGTAATAACAAGCAATGGCTTGATGATGAGGTTGAATGGAATACAATTTTGATACTCCATAGCTTTACTATGAAATTTCATTAAAAGAATCCTTTCTTGAAATAGCATTTTTTTTGTCAGTAAACAGTTACTTCACTTGACTTGCTTTCGATATTATTATTTCTAGATTAACGAAAGTGATATTACTAAATGTGGATCATAATGAAACATCTGCTATACCTATAGCCCTTTAGCTTCTACATGTATTCTTTCATTTACAATTTTTTATTTCATTTTGTCCTGTGTATCAGAACTTTGACAAATACTTAAGGGCAAATGCAGGAAAAACATGAARTAAAATCAAAATGAATACTAACAAATTTAGAGACAATTTGTCAGCATCAATGAGCCAGAACACAAAAAAAAATGAATCCACATGGACCATTTTTAATTCATCTTGATTGCGTTCTGGTTCATTGATACTGACAATTTGTCTCTAAATAGWCCCTATTAGTTAGTATTTAGTATTAATTTTATTCCATGCTCTTAATTCATTCTTCCAGAAGATTCTTTTAATATTTACGTCTTTGCCCACGGGCATGTTCCCCTAGCTGATAATATTTACATATTTCATCAGTCAAGCAGATATGCAAAATGTAGACTCAAAAAAAAAAAGAAAATTTCAAGAATGGAGTTAGTGAAAATCAACACAATTCTATCAAGAGCTGAAACTTCATGCTTTACCGATATTAAGGAATTCTTTTCATTTCTCGAGTTTGTTTTGGTTGCTTGATTTAGGAGTATAATGGTCAAGTAATCATTGAAAGATGCCATCCCCTGTGGTTTCCATCTGACTGTGAAATAGTTGCTAAGCTAATAAACCGCTCCACCCTTCACAGTACACTATTCATAACAAATATACCTATGAAAACTACTCCACCTTTCACAGTACATCATAAATAACAAATATGCCTACATTGTTATGCTTTTTATTGAATATTTTCATAGAATTTCCTACATTTTTTGTGTTAATATTGACAAGCCCAATGTCAGGCTTTAAGCATAATTCTATCTTATTTAATCCAAGAAAAGTGCTGACTACTATATACTACAGTTTTAATTGGTTGAAAACCAGTTGGTAGTCMAATATCCACATTGACATTTGTCTCTCCTTAGACACTAATAAGCTGTAAAAACCCCTAACCTTCTGCTGAATTTGAAAAGTTATAGGCAACAGGCTAGTTGGAAAATAAAGCAAGAAACCTACATAGGGCCTCTTGAAGTCCTCATAAAAATCTAAGCAAAACAACATRAGGTTCAACTGACATTTACRATTTCATTTACACTTCATATAGTCTAATCTTGAAGCAGTCATCTTATGTTGTTTTTGCAGGATTTTTGTGTTCYTTTGATTAGAAAATAGTTTTAGTTTGGAYATGTTGTTCATATCCTGGCAAGAAMTGAGTATAGCCAAAAGCACAAGATTATTTAAAACAGAACTATAAGCAAGTATGATATCATTATTTTCTCCTTGCTATTCAAATGCTATTCCATTTTTTAAGTGAGAAATGAAAACACTAGGGCATGATTTCTCACCAAAATACAAATGCTCTTTATGGCAACACTAAAAGTAGGTATTGAACTAATAAATARGTAAATTATTTGCTGGTAAGGACTTTCTGAAATCCAAAACAATARAAATCCATAATTCTAAAAATTCTCATAARTTAAGTTGAATAAAGTTCAATTTTCCTTTGCAGCATTTTTCCGTTGCATTTTAATCATCAGCATCAAAAATCTCCACATACTTCTGAGTCTCTCTAACACAGATGGCATTGAGAGTATTATCAACTTTGGATTGTCCATTAGTGGTGATGCTGCTAGTGCCCACCATAGCCAAGATGGCTGGTCACTTGACATGCTCTGTAAGTCTTCAGGCGCAGGAATATCACCAATAGCATTAACAATACATTCCCTTTGTTCATTTGATAAATTATTGAACCAAAACTTAAGCAACTTGTAGCCATTGACATGAAGTTTCATGATTTCCTCTTCTTCTTCTGACTCTACCTTGTCATCATCCAGCCATTTCACTTTGGCCACATTGTAGCCATCTCTCATTTCASYTGAGATGACTTGAAATCGCCTGACTCCCTCRGTGTTGATAAGAGAGCGACCATCTGGAAGATATGCAACATCACTGATCTTCAGCATTGTTCCTATGTCGGCATATGGTTGGTTGTCATTGGAACTTGGTGCGCACATGCCAAACTGTCTTGAACCAGATTCAATGCATCTTCTGATCATTAGTTTGTAACGTGGTTCAAAGATGTGTAGAGGACAAGGGACTGATGGGAATGCAAGAGTACAAACAAATATGGGGACTTCAAACTCTGGGCTTTTACCAACACTAAAAAGAAAATAATAATAATGGTATAAGTATCATCATTATAATCATATTTATTATCAATAATATTTTTTTTATATATTAACAGTTAYACTGTAATATTACAAATTYATCAAAATGTGAAAATTGTCAAATATACTATCTGGAGTGTGAGGAAGGCATYGTCATTATTTTACATTCTAGTAAAATCTCCGGATATCTCATGAAAGATATCGCGGATGACAAACATTGTAACTCAAAATATTGCTGATATGTAACTTGGCTCTTACATGAAAACATGAAATTAATAAAATTAAGATAAATAGTTTTTTGCKTTTTCTTTTTCACACCGTAATTTCCTGACTTTTCTAGAAAACTGATAATTGGTCGTTTCCGCAAAAGCCTTATAATCTATCATTCGAAACTGAAAAAGGAAATACTAGAAGTAGCTTGCGACCCCAACAGATGATGGCCATACTATAATTCCTTTGCTTTCGACCTTCTCGATCACTACCAAGCAAAAATAGGAAGTGAACAAGCCCGTATCTATCGAATCCATTAGAATTGACGGCAAGCTAGTTAAAACAGGATGATATTAAAGATACGATGTTKATTGTCTCGTCTTACCTTTGCATGGATTCCATTTCTTTTTCAAAACTTTCTTTCCTAGTCCGATATTCTTGAGGGAAGACGGCTTTGATGATATTCTCAATAACAATAGTGACATTAGTTCGCCTCTCAGCCAGATATTTAGTCAAAGGCGTTCTACAGCACGGACAATCCACTCGGAAATCTAAACTACGACGAAGACATTCGTCGCAAAATGTATGTCCACAAGGACTTGAGACAGGCTTGTATAAAAGTGAACAGCATAATTTACAATCAAATTCATCCGCAAAGATCTGTGTTAAAGACTGGTTCTCACTGAATTGTAATGTCTTGGGCACTTCCTTCTCAGGGCAACCATTACTTTGTGCCCCTGTTGTTAATCTGTCTCTCATTCCGATGCCTTCTGAAGAACATGTAGCCGAATCCTGTTCATTTAGAAGTAGCCGTTTCTCAACAAAATGTTCTCCTGAAAGACCAGGATTTTTAAATGAGTTTGGGAAGCCCTGTCGCAATGTTTCTTTCAAACTGGTGAAGCCAACTAAGTGAAGTAAACTTGTCTCAAGCTCACGTTGTAATTCTGTGTTTTGAGGTAGAAGAGCGGATAGACGAATATATACTGAAAGAGCTTTTAAATTATCAYCAGATTTCACTAAGATACGGGCTTTCCTGTACAAAATGTGGACTGCRAAAGGGCTCAGTTCCGATGCAGTTTCAATATCTTGTACAGCCAAATTTAGATTTCCTAGCCCAGTGTTACAAATACCTCGCAGGCAATAATAATTCGAATCCAATTTCATSCTAACRTCTTGAACTKTATCGAGTTGATTCAAACCTTCTWGGAAGTCACCCTGTAGTATCAATTTCTGTGCTGTAGTTTTTATGCTGTGCAACTGAGCTTGTTTAGGGAACAATTTTGAAGAGATGTTACATAACAGAAAGTTTAGAGCTTTAGTTTCTTCTGTGCCACCAGATTGACAAACGAAACAGAATGCACTGGAGAACTCGTCTCGAATACAGAAATTACAAAATGTATGTCCACAAGGAAGAGTAATAGGTTCAATTGAAACAGCGTTACAGATAGGACAAAGCAGTAGTTGTTCAACACTGCGAATTGTTTCACGTTCATTTACGGCCATCTCTTGCTTGAGCTTTTTCTTTTCCAGTTGTACCAAAGAGGAAATCAGCTTACGCTTGGCATCTTCACTGTAGAACGAACTAATTSCTGAACTTTCTTGCATTAAATTCGCCATAGTTTCATCTAAAGGCGAGTACATTGTCCACTATCGTCCTACGACGAACTCCAATGTTCCCTGATGAGAGAATATAAACACCGTCATACGTTATGTAATTCCAGGATRTAGACACGTGACCGAAGAAAGCAAGTCACACTATCTTAATTTTTGAAAGAAAAAAATAACCAAAGCATTATATTATTTTCACAAGCTTACACAAACTTGTAGTTTGAGTTTGAAATATTCTGATATATCATAGGGCTTTGAGCTAGTATATATTTCTTTCGTGATTTAAGTTAACCGGCTGTCAWTTTTTGTACAGAACAACACGTACGACTTACGTAACGGCGGTCATGACATAACACCAGGAATAACAGCGCTTAAAAACACCCCATTTTGTAAATAATTTCCCAGGGATATCCTTATAACACAAGTAAAAAACGACTCTTTTCAAGATATGAATTCCAAATCAAAAAAAGAGAGCATATTGTTTTGCGAAAAGCGTGTATCTCGTTGAATACACGTGAGTGTTGGCATAAGACACGTGAACTTGTGAATAAATTACATTTACTTTCACAAAAGAACCAGGAAAAAGAAGGAAATATCCCGGGTTGCAGGTCAAATTACTAACCATGGACTGGACTTTCATGTTGTGAAAATTGGTGTAAGATGTCATAAACTGTGAATATTCGATGTCAGTAATAAAGGTCGCCTATAGGAGTTTCGTTTCTTATTAGTTTTGGCCAAGTATTGAAGTAGCCATGTGAACCAATCAAAAGTTCGAAATAATTTTAMTGATTCGCACAAATGATCACATTATTTGAAAACCGTTTTCTTAATAGAGAAATAGAATATTCGTCCATTTATAAATAGGAATTAATTATGATTATAAAATAACTATTAGTATTATGTAACAAGCGATGCAAAAAAACTATAAACACACAAGGGAAGAGTTCGAGTTATATAAAAGTATTAGAAGATTTTTTTTACAAAATCATGAGAAGATAATTTCCAAGTTTCCCTTCTTTGTTAAAATAATAATCAGCTCGTGATTCAGAACTTTTCTCGTTTTCTTAATGGAAACACAAAAATATCTTCTAATGACTTAAATAGGATTAGAAAAAAACAAAAGGTGTCCTGCCTCACTCAGGCTCTCTTTTGTAACAGCTATTTTTAGAGGCAAACGTTCTTTTCCTTTGTATTTTTATCCATTATTTTAATGATTGAATTTCTTTTACATATGTTTCCATTGATTTCCACTTACTATTTCAACCAGTACATAACCAGAACGAATTACATTTCTAATCACCTTCAGTCCATTCTATTCTTTAGTTCTCAATGCGCGCACATATAACACGACACCTGATTGGTCCTTATTGATCGTTACCTCGGAAACAAAATGTAGTCGATGAAGACGGTTTTCATTACGACAATTTTATAAATCAAAGTTTAACGTAAGTATGTTGGATTGTTCAACTATAATCATCAGAAATGGAGAGCTGTAAATTTTCAGGTAGTTCAGGAGGAGCCGACGGGGTCTGTTCTTTGCACTAATGTTTTCCTGGGAAAGGGATTTTGAGATACATGTTAACAATCTCACAAGCAAATGTGTCGCCCTTCCTTCTTTAAAATAATTTTGTTTCATAGCAAACGTCAAGGTCAGCCGCCCTACTGTTATGCCATGGTCATTTGTCCTACTAACAAAGGAACCCCAAAACCAAAAGTGTAAGCGACGATGGAGTGAGTGAGGGGGCGGGGTGTGGGAGTTGGGGAAGGAGTAGCGATCTTCATTTCCATCAATCCACCCCCACAGGTCACCACAGGTCATCCAATCTTATTACGGCCTGAAATCGATCTTTTCATTTTTTTTCGATTCTARTAACTTGATAATTTGCACGCTTAGAACTGTTGAGCTTAATTAAGCAAGTGAATGCTGCGCATGCATGAGTTGAATGATGAGCTCATTTTGCGAGTCTTTTGCGTCAATTTTCATTTGTTTGCGATCACGCATTCCGTAAAAACAACAAATCAGCAGCAAACGAAAAAACCTTTAGGTTTTCGAGATCCTCTTGCTAGTCAATTTTCACCCGTAAAGCGATTAATTTTTTTTTATATAGTATTATTGCAAATGAATGATGAGTTTGAATTTACAAAATACTGACAGAACTATATTCGAGGCGTTAGTTTGTAAAATATAACCTGGTGCCTGCGAAAGGTTATAGAATGTACTTCCTTTCTCGTGATTTATGTACGATCATGTACGGC